AGGTCCAGGGTTTGATTCCTGTGCCAGTCAGCCCCCCAAAACAAATAAATAAACAAATAAAAGGCAGAAGTAAATTCCAATAGGCAGATGGCAGTGTAAAGGCAACATTGCCCCTTCTTTTCTTGCAAATTATCCAAAAGCCACAAGGAAAATAAAAAACAAAATGTCAACTCCATTTTCATTGGTGGTTGGAGGCAGCTGAAATCTCAAAGAATTTTTTTTTTTGTAAGACTATTTTTGTAGCACTTTTAGGTTTTCAGAAAAATTGAGCAGAAAGTGCAGGTGGTTCTCATACTCCCCCACCCACCCAACACAATTTGTCCTTTTATTAACATTTTACATTAGTATGGTACATTTGTTACCTTTATAAACCAATATTTACCTATTATTACTAATTCAGTTTTCCATTAAGGTTTCCTCTTTGTGCTGTAGAGATCTATGGGTTTTTCCAAATGCATAATGTCATATATTTACTGTTGCGGTGTCATACAGAATAGTTTCACTGCCCTAAAAATCCCCGATGCTCCACATGCTTATCCCTTTCTCCCTCCCTCCCTCCTGAAACCCTGGCTACCTCTGACTTTTTTTCCCATTACCTCAACCATTTATTATTTCTTTGTGTTGGGAACATTCAAAATCCTCTCTGCTAGCTAATTGATAGTATACAATAAATTGTCATTAATTAGTCATGCTACAGTGCTATAGGACTATTTCTCCTGTCTAGTTGTACTTTTGTATCCTTTAACCTACTTCTCACTACCCCCGCCTCCCTTCTACCCTTTCCAGCCTCTGGTAACCGCCATTCTACTCTCTATTTCTATGTGATCAACTTTCTTAGCCTCCACATAGGAATGAGAACATGAGAAACTTGAGAGTAGGTAAGTGGTTGGAAATGAACAATATATGGAATTTAAAGAGGCTTTTCTAATAGGAGCTGACAACATTGTAGAATTGTGGAATGATCACTTGAACATGTATTGTGAATTAAGGTGTAAGAATCTAGTATAAAATCTGAGCAAAAAAATGTAATGTCAAATTTTCTTTGCTAGCATATTGACTTCTATGTGTGTTTTACCTACTACAGAAAACTCATATGTTTGTAGGCATACAATTGATGTTACTGCATAAAATGTGAGTAGCGGAGGATAACAACCATTCGCAGACAGAATCGCTTGAGATAAATAAAGACAAAAGTTAATAAGGGTGCTTGAAATGTGTTGAGTAGTCAGGTGCTTGCTTGCATTCTTCTAGAAAAGAGAAACAAGAAAGGAAGAAAATATAAAAACATATCTAAAAATTAGAGTTCGAAACATATTTAAAAATTAGAGTTCAAAAGTTATGACTGTGTAACAACCTGCACATGGATGCATATAGTATCTTCATTCATAATTGCCAAAACGTGGAAGCAACCAAGATGTCCTTCAGCAGATGAATAGATAAACAAACTGGTACATCCAGACAATGAGATATTATTCAGCACTAAAAAGAAATGAGCTATCAAGCCATAGAAAGACATGGAGGAAACTTAAATGTATATTACTAAGTGAAAGAAGCTTGTCTGAAAAGGTTATGTACTGTATGATTCCAACTATGTGACATTCTGGAAAATGCAAAACTATGGAGACAGTAAAAAGATCGGTGGTTTCCAGAGGTTGGGAGGGTGCAGGGATGAATAGGCAGAGCACAGAGGATTTTTTTGGGCAGTTATAATATTCTGTATGGAGCTCTAATGGTGTATACATGCCATTTTGTCCAGACTCGTAGAATGTACAACACTGAGTGAACCCTAATGGAAACTATGGACTTTGGATGACAATGATGTGTCAACATAGGTTTGAGTGTAAAAAAATATATACCATTCTTGTGGAGGGTGTTGATAATTGGGGAGGTTGTGCATGCGTGGGGATAGAGAAATTCTCTGTACTTTCCACTCAGTTTTGCCATGGACCTAAAACTGCTCTAAAAAATAAAGTCTATTTTAAAAAATCAGTATTGTGACAGAGCACAAGCAGTTGGTGAAGTAAATCATCAGCAGATTGAAAGAAGGAAAAGTAGGATTGTCAGTCAGGATATATTACTGTTAATTAACTCTGATAGAATCAAATGACAGCACGAGCAATCAGAATATGGAGGTGAATTGGATCTTATTGCGTGCATGGCTCATCCTCTTCTATATTTTAACATTCTCTTTGGACATTGTTTTTCCATATCAAAGCTGTATGAAGAGATGGGGCCTGAACTTTAGGACTGACCACCTTTAGACCTGAGGAAACGAATCACTTCCTAACTTTAATTGAGGGTTGGTATGCACAATGGAAAAGAGGAGAGAGACTGGAAGCATGTAGAGAGGAGTTAGGATCCTCCTGCAGTAACTAAGGGAAAGGGGAGAGAGGGATCAGGATCTAGTCTCTGATCTGCCTCCAAATCAAATCCTTGCTCTGATATTTCCTTTGGTCACCTTTCAGTCTTCCTTGTCTCCCTACTCTGTGCCCCTGTCTTTACCCCATTTTTTAAATTTCCTCCATCCTTGGGCCAGTCATTTTCCTGGCATCCTTTGTTCTCAGTTTACCATTTCTCATGTTTTATTTCAAGCTCTCTACCCATTTTGAGGTCATATTTGTAACAAGCCAAAGCTATTTGTATAATTTTCAGCTTTCTCTCTCTTTTATATTACAGTATGTGTTTTTGTCTTTGTTTTTGTATTACCAAACCAAAAGACTAGAATAAATATTTGCTTAGGACTTCTATCATTCCAGGAAATTGTGCCTGAAGCACAAAAGTCAACTCAGCATAGGGCACTTGTGCACAACCCCCTTCCTTAAGAAGTGTATTAAGATTTGTAATGTGTGGTTAATTTTTTATATTTCTAGAAGTCCAGAAAGCCAATAACATGAAAGAAAGAAGCCAGAGAAATGAAGACAAATACTTGATGCAAGCTTTATTTTTCAACAGCAAAACACTGATTAAGGAGAGAAGTAAGACCCTAAAAGAATCATTTAATATGGCCACAAACCCAGTGCCCTCGAGAAAAATCTCCCATAAATTTGACTCATTTGGAATAAGCCTGAAAAATGTTTCAGAATTAATTATTAGTGATAAAAACCACATAAGAACAAAGTCTGATGATTTCAGTGGATGTGGGTTCCTTGAAACTAAACATGAGAAAACTCATACAGGGAACAAACCCTGTGAAAATGTTCAAAAGAAGAAATCCCACAGTCATAATGAGGACTTTATTCAACATCAGAAGAATTCATCTTTGGAGCAATTTCTTAAAAATAATAATTGTGGGAAAGCCTTTCACAGAAAGACAGTCTTTGTTACATGTAAGAGAATCCACACAGAAGAGAAACCTGAAGGTAAGAAACACGGAGACTTTATCCAAAATTTAAAACTCAACTCTTGTCCACAAACCCTTAGGGAAAGGAAGCCACATGAGCCCAGTAAAAATGAGAAGTCCTCATGCACGAAATCAAAATGTGCACATCAATGAACTCATATAGGGGAGAAACACTATGAGTGTAATAAATTTGGAAAATCCGTTAGCAAGAAGTCAAACCTTACTCAGCATCAGAGAACTCACACTGCAGAAAAACCCAGCAAGTGTAATGATAGTAAAATAACCTTAAAGAAGGAATCACATCTTACTCTCAATCAGAGAATTAACACAAGAGAGAACAACTATAAAGGTAATAAATGTGAGAAATCCTTTTTTGAGAAGTCAAAATGCACTCAACGTCAGAGAACACACTTGGGGAATAAACCTAATGAGGGTAATGAAAGTAGGAGGACCTTAAGTAGAAAGTCACACCTCACACAAAATCAAAGAGCTCACAAAGGAGAGAAAACCTATGACTGCAATAAATGTGGGGAAAGCTTCCATAAGAAAACAGACCTGACTCAACATCAGAGCACACACACAGGAAAAAAACCCTATGAATGTAATGAATGTGAAAAATCCTTCTTTGTGAAGTCCAACCTCACCGAACATCAGAGAACTCATACAGGAGAAAAGCCATATGAATGTAATGAATGTGGAAAGTCCTTCTGCCAAAAATCAGCCCTCACAGTACATCAGAGAACTCACACAGGAGAGAAACCATATCAATGTAATGAATGTGGGAAAACCTTCTGTGTGAAATCAAACCTGACTCAACATCAAAGGACCCACACAGGAGAGAAACCCTATAAATGTAGTGAATGTTGGAGATCTTTCTGTGTGAAATCTAATCTCATCGTGCATAAGAGAACTCATACAGGAGAAAAACCCTACAAATGTCCTGAATGTGGGAAAACCTTCTATGAGAAGTCAGCTCTCACAAAACATCAGCGAATTCACACAGGGGAAAAACCCTATGAATGTAATGAATGTGGAAAAACCTTCAGCCAGAGGTCAGCCCTCACCAAACATCAAAGAAAAACACATAAGAAGAAAACTCCCATCAACCCTCTCCATGTGCAGCAACCTGCTTCTGCAAGCCAAATCTGTTAAACATCAGCAAAATCAGAGGGCAGAAGACCTTAGATGTCAACACACGTCTTTGTTAATAGGTTATAACTAATAGGAATTAGAGAATTAAGATAGAAGTGAAACCATATGAATGCTTTGAACATGTGAATGCTTTCAACAAGTATTCAAAGTTGTCGAGGGAAAATATATAATTTTAAGAAATATGGATAAACCTATTCTTGTAGAAATACTGTTTAATGAGAAGTCATACTTCAGATGTGATACAAAACTTGCTATAGCAAAGATAAGAGAAAATAGTCTGTTCTTATTAGAATGCAAAATGTGGACCTTTTGTGAAATCATGAATAATTCAAGTCATTGACACAGCAGCATTAAATATATATGTGAAGACTTCCTGAGGAATATTGGGTTATATATGGGTATATAGTACCTGAATGTGCTATATTATGTAAGTTATCAGTGCTGATTTGCATATAGGAAGCCACCACTGTCTCTGAATCACAATACAGTATGTAAGTGAAAATTGAATAGTCATGTAACCTGTGGCCCAACAATTCCACTTCTAGATACATACCATAAAACAATAGTTCTCAACTGGGCATCCTCAATGGTGTTTGGAAATGTGGTTTTGATTGTCAATATGACTGAGGGTGCTACAAGCATTTAGTAGGGTGGGAAGCAAAGGGTACTAAATGCTATGCAATGTCAGGGAAGGGACAAGAAATAGAGTCTCATCCACCACATGGATGTCAGTAGCTCCACCACAGAAAAACATTATCCTAGAGTAATTCTTTCTCATCTGCACCCATAAATATATGCAAGAATGTTTATTGCAACATTGTGATAATATTTATAATAACAATTTTTTTTAAATGTTGGTATGATCATATGGTTGAAAGAATATACACCAATGCAGATGAATTAACCTCAGTTAAACACATCAACCTGGTCATATCTTAAAACAATAATGTTGAATAAAAAAGAGGAAAAATACAGATACTATCTTATTTCACTTACATAAAGTTCAAAAACAAACCAATGGTACATTGCTTAGGAATACATATATAAGCAGTTAAACTGAACAGGAAAACAAGTGGATGATTGTCACAGATTCTAGGATAGCAGTTACATTTGTAGAGGAAGGAGGGCTTACAGTTAGGGAGAGATAGAAAAGAATCTTCACGTTTCTTAAATGGGTCATGGGTACACAGGTATTTTATTATTTTTCTTTATACCACATATATGCATATTTGTATTTATATATATTTCTGATGATAGAATATTTTATTTTCAAGACAAGGCTTCACCTAATTGTATTAGAACATTAACACAGGTGAGGTATTGGTGCAAGGATCATTGTTAAGATTTTTTTCTTTCATCTATTTATCTGTAGCTAAAGTCTCTTTAATGACTTTTTCAAGTGTCTGTACCTCTAGTCATTTGGGCCTAGCCTTTTTTATTTTCTTGATTGCACTTTTTCCCTTTGTTTCCTAGTAAAATTTCTCCTAATCTTTAAAAAAAACCAAAGTAAACATTGACCAAGAAAGTAAAGAAAGTGGAAAGAAAAAGAAACAAAATCAAGTACTGTAAACTGTAAACAAGTAAAAATGAAAATTAATAATGAAAGTTATCACAAATAACATGAGCTACTTGAATTCCCATGTCAAAGGCAGAGGTAGTTTAATGGTGAGTTAAAAAACTAAATCCAATTATGTGTGGTTTGCAAAATATGTATCTAAAACCAGGTGACAAAGAGAACATAACTGTATAACTTATTACTGTATAACTTACTGATTAAGTTATATATAAGGGAATATATATATATATATATATATATATATATAAGAGAGCACCTATGACTGTAAAAAATGTTGGAAATCCTTTCATGAATTACCATGTAACTTTAACAAACAACCGTATAACTTCAAGCAGCTGATTGAGAAGATGTTGAATGTTCCTGACACAAAGAGGTGACAAATGTTTGAGGTGATGGATATGCTAAGTACCCTGATATGATCTTTGCACACTGTATAAATGTACCCAAATATCATACTCCATAAATATATACCATTGTCAAGGGTCAATTAAGAAAAAAGAAAAATAAAAAAAGAGAAAGTTAAGGGATGGGAAAAATATATCTGGTTTTTTTTTTTTTTTTTTTTCCCCAAACATCCATCCATCAAAGTATGACTACATAAGGGTAAGTCCTGTGATTATATTGTTTAACCCACTTGCAGGGAGTTGTAGTGTAGGGAGGATGTGGTTGTTTACAATGCCGTCTGCATTTGGCACATAGCGGCTGTGGCAGAGTCTGCTAGTTGTCCTGCAGCAGCAGTATTCCTTTAATAGAATCCCCTACTGGATGTTAGAAGGGTATATGGCCATCCAGCTAGACTCTATATCTCCTAGCTTACTTTGCCACCAGAACAACAAGAAGGAAATGGCACTTACCTATTCATGGTAACTCCTATATGGATTATTGGGAAAATGTAACATGTATTTCCAATGAAGTTATTGAGAATTTATTCTCCTTTGGATAACACCAAAATACTGAAGGCCAACAAATATATAATAGTAGGGGATTTGCTAAATCAATTATGACACATCCAAAGGACAGAATGCCTTGCTATTTATTAACAATAGGTAATCTGCTATAGCATTTAACATTTATTTCTTGAGCTCACTTATTTCACTGGGCTGAGTACTCTAAAGAATTAGAAGATTGTTAAAATCCAAGTCTCAGTTTTAGGTAGTGTAGTAAATTGGAAAGCATGAAGTTTGAAGTAAAGTAGTTCAGGGATTTAACCCCAGCATTTGCACCTGCTACTTTTTGACATTGGATGACTTCACTTCTCTGAGCATCCATTTTCCTATTGAAATGAGGATGGCAATACCAACCTCACTGTAGATGTGAGGGTTCATTGATATGCTTAATTAAAATAACCTAGTAAAGTATCTTGTAGCAGCAGTAGCAATAGTAACAGCAGTAGTGGTAATGACTCACCAGAATCTTGTTACACGGCAAGCAATAAAAGCAAGGATGTACATGCCATATCACATTTAATCCTCAAAACTGGCCTATGAGATGAGCTCTCTTTCCACGCCCATCTTAGAGATGAGAAAAACAAGACTTATAGATATTCCTTAAAATTACTGGAGTCATGGGGAGCTGAGATGCCATAGAGACACTGAGTTGCATCCAGGTCTCTCTGGCTCCAACGTTATTGCCCTTTCTTACATCAGTTTGCACTATCCTTGCCTTTTCCAGATCAGAACATAATATTCATTCTCTTCCTAGCTGCTCTTTGGGAACTGACCTCTCAGAGTACCAGGCCACATGCTGGCCAGGCCATACTTGGGAAAGCAGAGTTTCTAGAATCATTTCTTGTGCCCTTTAATGCACATTCCTAGGCTCCTATACAGCACCCTGCTCCAGATAAGGAAACAAATGCAAACCTAGCCCATGTGACCCTGGCCCACTCTGCAGCCCTGGAACCAGCATATCTGGAGCTGAGGCCATCTCTTGCCTCCCTTTCTCCGAGACCAAGTCCAGGACAGCCTAGGAAACAATAAGATTCCTCAATGTTTTGTTTCTACCTCACAGTAACACAAGTCAATTCTACCCAACATCCTTCTCTTGTAGCCTCTAAGCTCTGCAGAGGTCCCGTTCAAGCCACTTTCCTTCCAGTTTGGTTCCCAGGACCAGTACTTTGGGCCACAAAAATGTGGAGTTTTCCCCATAAGGCTGTAGACAGAGAAAGAGCAATCTGTTACCCCAAAATAGAACTGCACATGTGCAGGAGGAGCTGCTGAAATCTGTTTCTAGTGACTTCCTCTGGGTAATGGAAGACCCCGTTTCCCATAAGCCTCTGTGGCTGCTCTATTAGTGATTATTCAAGAGTTTCTGCTTTATTGGGTACACTGAATGCTTGCTCCTCAAAGGTAATTTTTCCTGTCCCATAAATGCCTAATTCTTCCAGTACCCACAGATATTATGATTAGAAATGGTTTAAACACAACCTCTGTGTGTGTGTTCATGTAGGGATGTAAAAATAGGAAGCCATCACAAGAAATAAATCAATTTCATCTATTAATATAGATGAGACACTTAAACTCTAGGAAATGTAATCCAGCAATATATTGAAAGAAGAATAACAGTAATCAGCATTTCTTCCAGGAATGAAAAAAATGACAGAAACAATCATTCAAAAGAAAAGCATCGGTCACCTTTGGAGAATGCTTTGAAAACTGGAAAATAAAAAGAAACAATTATTAATTCTGCCTTTCCTATATAAAGCATTCCTTGGGGCAGCCAAATAGTTGCAGAGGGAACATTTCTCTTTCTAGAAGTATTATGACTAACAAATGAAGAAATCATGTTAAAGTAAGCATATCACCATTTTGTAACCCCTGATGCATTAGTGGAGCTGGGTGATAATCAACAAGTACTGACATTTAATAAAGAAGGGAGGCAACATCATCCCATGCCTCCTGATGAAAGAACACAACACCAAGTAATCATGCTTGAAACTTGAATATAAATTTGATCAAGCCTCTAACTACCAATTTACATGAGGTGTCAGGAGCAGAGGAACATGCTATGTGAGACTGCAGGGACCACGGGAAAGTAAGACAAAGGACCTGGTTTCTTCAACAAATAAAGGGGAGGGGTGGAATAATCAATTGAAGAAGACTGTTAGATTAAAAGAAACGTAGGCGATCTTGATATGTCCTGATACAAGGAGGTGGAGCTTGGTTCCCTCCCCTTGAGTGTGGGCTGGACTTGGTGACTTGTGTTTGGTGAATAGAGTATGGAAAGGTGAAAATAGTACCTTTATAGTGAAGACACCTGGTAGACACTACCTTACCCAGGTGGTAAGGTTAACATCACCAGTGACAAGTCGTGATATCATGTGCTCCCTGACATGAAGTGATGAAAGGGTACATCATAATCTGATATTCTCCTCAAAACCCATAACCCCAGCCTTATCTTGAGAAAACATCAGACAAACCTAAATTGAGGGACATTCTTCAAAATATCTTTCAAACATCTTTCAAACAATACTTTTCA